GGGAAGTTCCGGGACTCTGTTGGATTTATTTGGGCGCGAGGAGCGTTCCTGACGTCGTCTCTCTCTCTCTGCCTTGCAGGAATCCTTTTCCGAGCACTTGGGGTTCACGGGCGGGATCGTGCAAGGGTGAGTGGGGGCCACGGGCTGAACATGGGGAAAGGGTTTTTCACGGGAGGAGCGGTCGGGCGTTGGAACCGGCTGCCCGGGGAGGTGGTGGAGTCGCCATCTCGCCATCCCAGGATGTGTTTAAGAGCCCTTTAGATGTGGTGTTGGGGGATATGGTGTAGGGGAGAACTCTGCAGGGTAGGGTGGATGGTTGGACTCGATGATCCCAAGGGTCTCTTCCAACCCAGGCAATTCCACGATTCTATTTCGGAGCCGTAACGAGCGGGGATGGTCGTGGCTCTTCCCGGTTTATCGGTGCGCGTCAAACGAGCCGGCGCCGCCGCAGCAGCGAGCGCCGACAACCCTGACGAGAGGGAGACGCTGCGCTTTTTAGCATCTTAATCCTTATTTCCCCTCTTCTTTTCCCTGCCAGGCTGGATTTGTACCGTGCCTCGGGCAAATTTGAGCTCCTGGACAGAATTCTCCCCAAACTGCGAGCCACCAACCACAAGGTGCTGCTCTTCTGCCAGATGACCTCCCTCATGACCATCATGGAAGATTATTTTGCTTATCGCGGATTCAAATACCTCAGGCTGGACGGTGAGTGCCTCTGGGGGCGGGGACGGCAGTCGCCCCGCTCTCGCTCGCTCGCTCACGGCGCGGATAAACCCCTCGCGCGGCGGCGGCGCCGAGCAGTGAGGTAAGCGCCGCCGCCGGGGTCGCCTTCCCCGGGTTGTCTCGCAAGGGAAATGTGCCTGAAGCCAACGGGGCCGCGTCGTAAAGCAATTAACCCCCCGCGCGCAGGATGCGGCTTAACGCAATAAACCTTGCCGGATGCGGCTTAACGCAATAAATCCTGCAGGATGCAGGACGAAAGGTGTAAAGTGCAGCCTTGGACTTTATACGTTACCGTCGGCTGCTGCTTCAGCTGCGCTTCTCGGGGGTTTTTTTTAAAATTTGCCTCATCTCCTCTTTAATTCTGCGACCCCGGAGGATGCTGCTGAGGGCCAGGTGGGCTCCTAACCTTATTAGCGCAATGTAAATGTAAATTAATTAGTTGGAATCCAGGTTTAGGGCAGAGGGCGCGCGGCTTAGTGCGTGCGCTGGATCTAATGGAGGAGGAAAGCAAAGCCAATTCACCGCTTGGGGTGGGAACAAACCGCCGAATCCCCGCAAAG